TCAACTCCTGCAAAGGACTTGTGATAGAGTCACAATGAGGAGGCATATTTGAATGTGAAAGCCCCAATGAGAAGAGCCAGAGTTAAAAATGGGTGGAGTCAGTTGGCACTGGTCAACTTGGGGAAGGAAGATTTGTGTGAAGCCTGAGAGGACATGGTGTGAACAAAGGAAACATTAAACCTTAAGAGCATCCCTGAGTGATAGTTGATATTTCATGAACGTCAGGAGAAAATCCCTATAAATCCTGAAATATCTGTTTATTCACCAAATAACAAGTTTTAGGGTGTTAACTATGTGGGAAGAACTGTAGTTGGTGCTAGAGAAACAGTGGCGATTTAAATGAATAAATCAACAAAAACATGGTTTCCTGCACCAGTGATGCTTGCAGTTCAGTGCAAGATTTTTTGAGTTAGTGACATTTAATTTGAAGTCAAAAGGTAAGTAGGCACTTAAAAACAAATATGGATAATATTTCAGAAAAGGATAAAGAAAATCATGTATTGAGGCTCTATAAAGTAAATCTTAAACATGCTAGAAGAAAAGGGGAGGAGTTAGTGTGGGTGGATGGTGTTGAACCAGGCATGTATCTTTTGTATCATATATATCCTTTATGTAGTTCCTGTATTCTTTGCCCCAGGATTAATATTGTTGCAACTATAAGTGACATAAAATAAAACAATTAAAATTTATTATTTGATATATTCTGATATAAATATTCATCCATTAAAATATTATCCTATTTGAGACAATGAATATACATATAACTCTCCAAAGTTTCCTGATATTACTCTGAGGTTTCTTTTCTCCACCAAAGCCCCTCCATTCCTTACCCAAGATATCCACTTACATGCTTTCTATATACTATGAATTTGTTTCCATTTTCCAGAATTTTGTACAATTAGGATAATGCAACAGGTACACATTTAATTATTCTAAGATTCATGTGTATTCTTGCTTATATCTAGAGCTCATTCCTTTTTATTTCTGAATAACATCCCATTGTATGATTATAGCACATGTTATTTATCCATTCACCTGTTAGTGGGCATTTGGATTATTTACACATTTTCACTATTAAAAATGAACCTTCCATGAAAATTTATGTACATAATGAACATTTGCTGTCATTAGTCTTGAGTAAATACCTAGAAATGGAATGGCTGCATCATAAGGTAGGCATATGTTCAACTTTCATGAAATTATTTCTTAAGTGTTTATACCACTTTACATTTCTACCAGAAATCATGAAAATTAAAGACTGTTTATATCCTTGGTAAGGCTTTTTTTTTTATTTTAATCATTCTAGTAAAAATGCCATATATCCCATTGCAGATTAATTTTCAATTCCATCATGACTAATGATATTCAGCATCTTTTAATGTATTTACTTGTCATCTATATATTTTTGGAGAAATGTCTATTCAGATCTTTTACCCATTTCAAAATGGGGTTATTTGTCTTCTTATTGACTAGTAAGAGATCCACCATATATGTTGTATGTATAAGTCCATATCATTAAATATATATTTCTGTTGAATAGTCCATGTTATTCAATGTATAGTACAAGTCTATATTTTAAAGAGCAAAGATTATTAACGTTGATGAAATCCATTTTATTGATTTAAAAATTTTTGTATTTTGTATCCGTTATGTTGCAGTTATGAAATCTTTGCCAAACCTATGATCATTAAGATTTTCTCCCATATTTTCTTCTAATAGTTTTAGAGTGTAAAATTTTACATTAAGGTCTAAGATCAAGGTTCATTTTTGTGGATATGTCAGTACTATCATTACAATGTCATTTTTTAAAAAGACATGGAATATCTGCATCCTTTTCCTTTTGAATTATCTTGGCACCTTCTCACAAACCAATTGGCCACATATTTTTGCATCTATTTCTGGGCTCCCTTGTTTTTTTCACTTATTCATGTTTATAAGTAGACCAGTGCAATATTGCCTTGATTACTGTAGCTTTATAATAAGTCTTGGGACAGAGTGACTTAAGTACTTCAATCTACTTCTTAGCTACCAAAATGTTGTTTTGGTTACTCTAGATCTTTTGTATTTCCACATACTATTTAGAATCAGCATGTCAATTTCTATAACAAAAACAACAAAATTCCTCCTGAGATTTTTAATAGAATTGTAATCAATCTATTAACTTGAGAAAAATTGGCATCTTAATAATATTGAGTCTTTCAATCCATAAACATGATATAGATGTGTAAGTATATATTTTTTTCACTCATGTTTTCTTTAAATGCTCTCAATAATGTTTGGGTAGTTTTCAGTGTACAGGCCTCATGTATCTTTTGTTAATTTTATATCTATATACTTTATATTTTGATGCTATTGTAAAAAATAATATTGTTAATTTCTGATTGTTATTAAGTAGACATACATTTAATTTTTGTATCATCTATCCTGAAACCTTATATCCTACAAATTTGCTATGCTTCCTTATTAGTTATTCCATCTTTTGTAGGTTTTACCAGCTTTCTGCATAGATGATCATGCTGTCTGAGAACAAAGATAATTTTTCTGCTACTTTTCCAAACTAAATGGATTGAACTTCTGTTTTTTGCTTAGTACATTGACTAAATTTTCAGTAGTGTGTTGAATAGAAGTAGTGAGACTGTATATTCTTGCTTAATTCTTGATTTTGGGGGAAAAGTTTTCAGTCTTTAATAATTTATATGTATATATTTAAATATTATAAAATATATAATTCTTATACAATTATATATTATATATGATTATATATGTATATATATCCTTTATCAGGGTGATGAAGTCTGCTATTTCTAGTTTCTGAGAATTTTAATCAAGAATGAAAGTTAGATTTTAAGTAATTTTTCCTCTAATTTAATAATTAAATTATTTTTATTGACTGTTAAAGTTATGAATCACCCCTGGCTGGTGTGTCTCAGTGGATTGAATGCCAGTCTGTGAACCAAAGGTTCACCACAACTGGGGATTGGGACTGCAATCCAGGCATGTGCCCTGCACAGGAATCAAACCAGTGACCTTTAGCTTTGTGTGGCGATACCCAACCAACTAAGCCTCACTGGTCAGGGCTTATTTATTATTATTTAAATATTAAACCAACCTTGCATTCCTTATAAAAATTGCACTTGGTCTTCTTGCTGGATTTGATTTCCTTAAATTTTTGTGAGAATATTTGTATCTATGTCAATGAGGAATATGTGCCTGTAATTTATTTTCTTTTTATATCTCTCTCTAGTTTTCATATAAAGGTAATGTTGGTATAATAGAATGAATTAGAATGTTTTTCCTTCTCTTCAATTTTTGGTCATTGTGAAGACCCTGAGATAATAGAAGACAATTATATCCAGAGGAATTAGTCTTTTATTCAAAAAGTCAGCATGTTCTCTAACTGAATCATTCTCTTACTTCTGTGTGCATGAGAAACACCTGGAATTTTCTTCTGAATAGACATTTTGATTCAGAAGGTCCAAAATGAATTCATAATTGGCCTTAACAAAGAAAAACAAATCCTCCCCAGGTTATTTTGTTATATAAATCTTTGTTCTGAGGATTCTTGTCTATTCAGTGTTTCTCAGATTATGTTTCATAGACCAGAAATATCAGAATCACCTGGGAATTTTTTTTAAATGCAAATGTTCTTCCCCCACTTTAGACCTACTACAGTAGTTTCTCTGGGAGAGAAAGAAGGTGGCAGTCTGCCCTTCAAAAGCTCTCAGGGTGACTACAATTCACACTAACATTTGAGAACTACTGCACTATGTTAATAAGAGAGAATCAAAATGAAATAAAAATGCAATTAATTTTATATATTTTGTGTTATAAGTAGAGATGATATCTTCTGTACAATTTTTGTAATATATATAGAAGATCTGAGAGAGTGGGAAAGAGAGTAAGTGAGATGTATGAACAGTGTGAAGAAGGTATGGATAAACTTTAGGAAAATGCAGGAACAGGCTGATGAGATTGTTAGTCACTATTGAATGTCTATCTACATAGGCAATGTGATTCTCAACCTTAATTGGCATCTATTTTCCCAATTGTTTAATTTTCTCTCCAATCTGAACTGTTCAAGGTAGAAGAGTAGACAAGACTTTTTTCAGTTTCTTGGATTTGTACACAGTTATTTTTCCAAGGAGTAAAAGACAATGAAAAAAGGATGCAATAGATGAGGTTATTTGCAACAGAGTAAATGGCTATAATCATACTATGTATGCTATATAAAAAGAGAAATGAAGACAAGGAGAGGATAATCACAGAAAGTTCTGAAATTTATGGATAAAATGTCTTTATGAGATGAAGAACTTCTTCAGTAGACACCTTTTAGAAAAGGAGCTGGGTGTAAAAATAGTAATAGCTGAAAAGTAAAATGTTTGTTTATGAATTCTTATTTTTATGAAATAAGAAGCTATAAATTGTGACCTTGATAATAGAGATTGAGATTACTGTGCCAGATCATTGGTACTGAGGAAGTCACAGAATGGGTGAATAAATATTCACACATATACTGGTGTTCTTTTTTACTAGCGATGTCAATCATAGTAGTGGGTGGATAAATTGGAAGCTGACAGCCAAAGCCCAAATCATAAAATGCAGTGGCATCAGTGTCATATAAAATAAATTGGAAGTCATCACTGGCACAGGAAAGTTCTAATGGACACATATTTGTTTCTGTATCAGATTATTTTAAACCCCACCATAATTTCAAAAAATGTGTGTTCCTGGTATGTCCTAAGTGTCTTTTGATAATAAGAAACCTAATTGTGATATCTATGTGTGAGTTCTGATTCAGCCATGCAGTATAGGGAGTAGCAACCAGTGTTCCTATAGACCATTGCAAAGAAATTGAGTCCTACTAACTTTCTTGTGTTTTCCTATTCATGACAAGACAGTTTGCTTTGAAAGGTTTCTACCAGCTCAAAAGAACAAGGATGGAGGTTGTATCTTCTGTGCCCTGCTAACATCCATTCTAATTCTGTTTTTCATATCCACAGAGAGTGAAGAAGTTTATCAAAGGCAGGTGCTGTCAATTTCATGTATCATCTTTGGACTTGTCATCGTGGGCATGTTCTGTGCAGCATTCTACTTCAAAAGCAAGTAAGGCCATTTCCTTAACCTGTTAAAAGGTTACTTCTCAGAGAAAGCACTTTGTCATTCTTTAAGTTCTCAGTCTTTGCTGCAAGCAGAGGGATCTTAATGCAAATTGGCCCATCAAACATCTACAATGACTTAGAATCTTTTGTAGAATGTGGTGAGTGTATATAGCATGTGTATGCATGTGTGTGTGGTTTATCTTTGATGCACATAGTTATCATTCCTCTTTGTGATCATAAAAACTCTGTGCTCTTTGCACATTTTAATTACTTGCCAGAATTAAAGGTTCAGTGTATACCTGTGATTTAGGAGTTAACTGTTCTGAACAGAGAAGTCACTGATGTAGATCTAAACATAATCAACCAGTATCTAGACTTTTCTTTAAAAAAAAGTATTTTTTTTTCTTTCATGGTATTTTTACTTGATACTCATAAAGGTTTCAGACAAATATTAAATATGAATACCATAAAATCTATTTTGATTCACCAGTTGGTATATATCTCTCAAATATGCTCTATAATCCTTTTGCCAAGAAATAAGACCTTCTGCAGATAAAGGTACTTATTTTTGATTAATAAAGTAGGTTATACATATACATATATATAGCAAGATGTATATAAGTATATATGTGTATATACATATATATTTATTTTAAATGAACTTTGGTAAATGTATTCCATTTAGGGAAATGGCTCCATCTGCACTTAAAATAAGAAATGCAAATAAAAATACTCATTTTTTTTCAGTTTCTTGCAAGGCATGTAGGCTTCAATATGTTGGCACAGATTCTGTTTCTCCAGCTTGTCTGAAGTCCAGGTCAAAGCATAATTGCTTTTCATTGGACGTATATTTTTCTATTCATTTGCTCTTCTAAAATTGTATCAATTTCCAGATATAGTCTATGATATCTGTCTGCATGTTGTATATATTCATCTTTAAAATAATAATGGAAGCTCAGGTATGAATCTAGAATTAGTAACTACTACTTTTAAATAAGCTGTTTCAGAATAAAGTTAGATTTTCAGAATTCTTGAAAGTAGTACAGATAGAGTCCTTATGGACAGACTCATTTCCCCGATTATTGTCTTATATGGTATGATACACTTATTATTGATGCAGTAGTACTAACTAAATTTCATGCTTCCAGATTTTTTTTAGTTTTTACCTATTGTGCTTTTTTTTTGTTCCAGGGTCACACCCAGGGTCACATTACATTTAATTATCACACCTCCTAGGCAACTCTTGGCTGTGAAAGCTGTTAGTGTTCATTTTTTGTATTGCTCATTTTATTTTTTTTTACTTTTTAACTGATTTTATTGGGATACCATTGGTTAATAAAATTATATAGCTTTCAGGTGTTACCATTCATTTTTAAGCACTTATTCTTTGTCAGAGACACTGGGCTTTTTATGTGTTATTTCCTATTTTTTACAATTGAAACTGGATGTTATTACTGCATTTTTTAAATGTCAGGATTTAATTTTAAAATATTTTTTGTCAAAGCCACATAATAGAAAATTACAGATGGGGGTCTTCATTTTTTTAAAGAATTATTATTAATTTTCCAATTATAGTTGATATTCGATATTGTGTTAGTTTCAGGTATATGACATAGTAATTAGACATTTATATACCTTACCAACAGATGGGGTCTTTGAATTTTCACAGTTCTAGTTTAAATTGTGATTTAAATATGCTCTGCATCACTCCACCATATTTGTTTCATATAACCCTTTCACTAGATAGTGAAACTGCTTGGAGTGAATCAGGAATGTCTTCCCTGGTGCAACCCAGAGCACTATTTATTTATTTGTCTAAGGAGGCTACATTACATAGTAGTCAGGATTTCACACATGCCAGCCATGCCTGCATTCACATGTTCAGTATGCCACTTGCTTGCAAATTACATCCAGTCCCTTACCCTTTGTTTCCTTTTTGGTAAAATATGGCCAAAAATATATCTACCTCCTAGAATATATTAAGGATTAATGGGATAATACTGTAAAAGTGACAAAATAGTGTTAAAAGAGTAAACACTCAATGAAGGCTTGCTGTTGTTAGCAGCGATGTGTTTCTACTCCAGAACTTAGAGCCTGGGGAACCTCATGCAAAAGTGTACAGTGGAGCAGAGAGGAGTAACCACTCCTGACTGGGCTCTACAAGAGTCTCCTTATGCATGCTGTATGCAAGAAAGAAAATGTGTATTTAACAATAAGCAAATTACTATGAAGTAGTACTTTATCACTTATGTTTAGAGTGTAATTTATGGTGGAGCACATTTAAATTAAAAACTGATTATCACAACCCCAAGAATAGAGAACAGGTGAAAAGCTAGAGGACTTCTGTCTCCAGGGCTGTCAGTCTCCCCCACTCTGGGCAGCAGATGTGCTCTGAAACCAACATCCGGGGCTCAGCAAGCTATCAGGGGGTTTAATGAAAACACTGTTCAATATCAGATTCATTATGGGGGGCTCAGAGGACTGAGCCACCAGAGCCTGCTCAGCTGGGACACATTTTCATTACAAAACAAATAAATAAGAAAATGTGAGAAGAATAAAGTGATAATAAAATTGGAAGCCTTTTCCAAGTGGAGTTATAGTTATCATTAAGAATATATTTCCGTCTTTGAGTACAATTTTCAGCCATGGTCTTCATTTATTTTTCTTGGCCTAAGAGGAATGCCACATCAAACACCAAGCATCTAATCTATATAGCTGAAAGCAATGTACATTTTTATAACACCCTGACATAACACTCTCTGTGCTTATTACTGGAATTATAAGCCACCTCCAAAAACCTTGGGCAGATTCCACCTTGACCTTTCCTCATCTTCACACATACTTTAAGGTTTTATATGGGTATAATTTCTTTACATTATCTCAAAAGGCCCACATCTTCTAGGATTCTAGGGCCTCTCTATCATTGGTTTCCAAATACATTCACTTGAACCTCTATCCTATATACTGGGTTGTACTGTTTCTGGCCAGAGAGTCAGAGGTTATCCCAAATCTCACATTCTCTCAGTCATTTATGTTTTAATGACCAAGAGATGACCCATAATCCCTGATTCCACCATTCTGGTCCTTTCTCCATTCTCTTGTCACTCTTGGTATGGCATGACCTCACCAGATAGAACATCACAGAAAATGGTTAGCTTGTGAAAATTTGAAGGTAATATGATTAGGTAGAAGAGAAGAACACCTTCTTGAATTTAGAGGATTTTCTGAGTTAATTAAACCCCAACATCTCTGAAGGACATAATGAAGGAAATTCTCATCACTCACAATAAGTCAGTATATTCTATATTTCCCCAAAATTAGATTATGGAATTACTGAAAAGATAGCATTTCTATTTAATTCTCAGAAGAGTAATTGGGTCCTTTCTCTGTGCCAAGCCTCTTCTCACTGCTTCATGATTATTTATTCATGTGGGACCTGGTTTTCCCTTTGCCTCATCAGTGAATCCTGATAGGATTTTGTGGCTGTAATGTGCTTCTAAAAATGCTGATGATTGATTTATTTTTAACAATAGGCTATAGGTTAGCTGTTAGGAAGTAGATAGATTATTATAACTGGATTAAAGCAACTAATAGTCCTGGAGATAAAAGCAACACCCTCACTACCACCCATAAATGGTTGAAAAGATGAAAGATCAAAAGAAGTAATGACTCAGAATCTCCAAATCTTGTAGCAAATGCTGTGACTTGCTTGTGAGAGATGCAATTAATACTATCTTTTTTTTCACTTTGAGCCACTGTTCTAATTCCTCTGCAGCATCCTTCCCATCCAAGCTTGCTAAATGATGAGGAAGGGAAAAGATCAATATGCCACATGTGCTCTCACTTTAGTTTCCACAGTATGGAAGATAGCTTTTAAAAACTCTGTCTGCAGATGAGGAAACTGAGGCTCAGAGATGGTTAGGATATCAATCTTTTTTGACTTAGGATGCAAATCTCAATCGCACTGATACATGAACCTAAGCTCTGCAGAGTGCTTCCTGGCTGGTGAAGCTCCATACAAGAGCCAGTGTTCCTATGTACTCCACCAGAGCTCTGACCTTGACAGGGCCTTCGGGAAGAGGCAAAGTTAGTACAGATGATTCTGAAAGGTGTTTTTGTTTCCTTTCTTTTGATTGTTTGTTTGTTTTATTGGTGCTGCTGCTCTTTTATTTAATTGCTGCAAAGCTTTTGGGAGAGAGCAGTTAATAATGTAGTGATTTGTTGCATCTCAGATAAGTGTCACCTCACATATGAGTCCTTTATTTGGATTCTAAAAACTGAGAGTAGTCTCCACATTCACACTAAGAAGCTATGGGTCACACAGGCAAGTGGTTTGACAGTTTAGAGTGGTGTTTAAGAGTATAGAACATGCAGCCATACTGACTGGATTCAAATCTAGCTCACTACTTACTAGCTATGTAAATGTGGGCAAACAATTTAAATTTCTGTGCCTCAGTTTTCTCACCTAATAAGTATAGAATTAATGTTTCTTCACACAGAATTATTGTGAAGAATAAGTGAACTGATGTTTGGCACATAGTACGTGCTCTTTAAGTATTCACTATTTTTGTTATTTACAAAAACAGTTTACAAAGGGATAAAAAATTTATATATAGGGTTGATGATAATAATAAATGAGTTGTTTATAAATGGTAAAAAAAGGAAACTATATACATGTTATAGTGCATATGCCAGCCACACAATCAAGCTACACATATTTGAATTAGGCAGATATACATGTAACTTTTCAAGTATGTTATATGTGGCTGTTAGGCCTAACCTTCACATTTTCCACTGGTCACTTTTTCTGAGCATTTCTAATTATTTGCATCTGACCACTGAGGGGTTGGGACCTCTTGCATCCATGAGGGCAAGGACAATACATTATGTTTCTGTCTTCAGAGCACCATTGGCTGTGAGTCCCTGGGTGATGATGGATAATATCATATTCTTTCCAAATTGGAAATAGTTCTTGGTGGAGTTGAAAATGAAGGAAGGATTCTCTTTGTTAACTGAGTTTATCTAGCTTTAGCAACTGACAAATATAGATGATAGGAATGAATGAAAAATATATGCATAGCATAAATTTATGTAACTATACATTTTTTACTTAAACCAACAGAAAGCAAGCTAAGCAAATTCAAGAGCAGCTGAAAGAGCCACAAAATGGTAAAAACTACAATCTCAAAGTGTCCAGTGCAATGGCAAAGTCAGAACACTTGGTGAAGAATCACGTCCAGCTGCAAAATGTAAGTTATGTGTCTCTACCTCCTTTCCTGCAGCTCACCTCAGTGCTTCCAGTCCCCAGGGATGGGGAACCTGCGATCAGACTCATATATTTAGTGCTTTGTAGATTTTTCCTTATACCACATGGCAGTCCCATGTGCTCACATGTGTCTGGATGAAAGAAAAAAATTAAACCTCAGATCTTGATTACAATAGGTAATATAAATTAGTCCCTGGAAGCAAAAAGAGTTTCAGTTGTTTGTTCCATAATCATTTACTGAACCCTTACTTTGCATCAGAAATCGTGCTGGGCAGGAAGGATACAGTGTTCCCTACCAGATGGGAATTTATATATAGTAAGAAATACAAACACCAGAACCAGAGGTGTGTAGGCTGAGATGGTTGATACTGGAACAGAAATTGGAGAAGAGATGAGAGGGGAATGGGGGCTAGGAGAGGTGAAGCATGTATGGAGGCTGCCTCTTAATAAAGTCAGGTTTGAGCTGGGCTTTGAAGAATATGAAAGGTTCATCAGATAGTCAAAAATTAAAGGATAAAATACTAGAATGAACAGAAAGAATAAAATTATGTAATCTTAAGAATCCATGCTATGTTCTGGCATCCCAACATAAGGGTTATGAGAGAAATCCAAGGTGAGAGAGGTGGGAGGTGAGAGTTGTGGTCTCAGTCAATACTTCTAACAATTTTAAATTAAATGCAAACTCTTTGAACCCTATGTCTTTCTAAAGTTTTAATCATTTCTGAGATATACTGCAAAACACTAATTTTAAGGCAAGTGAATACTGTCTAAGGTATACTGAAATATTCTTCTCAGGGTAGCAATTTTGCCCCCACACAAGACTTCACTTTCAGATTCTCGGGCACAAAGTGAAGAAACGAAGGCCATGGTGTAAACCTAGTATTTGAGTATAATAGGCAATCACCCAGGACACTTTCCACTCTTCCAAATGTGTAAATCACTGGGAATTTATACATCATTTGTGATTCTAAGAAATCATTACCCAAAAAGTTACCATTATGTTGGGCATAACAGATGTACTTAGATGTTTAATTCAGAGTTCATAAATAAGAATTGCTTCCCAGCAAAGTTTTATTTAACTTGTAATCATGGCTATATGCAGAGATTGTTCTTTTCTGAAATGGAGACAATGCTTTTGCTAATGCTTTCTAATGGACATAATCCCACCATCCTAAAACAAATGCAGTGATGGAGGGCTTCAATTACTTAGCAACTGGACCTGTCAAAGATGAACAAAGCTAGCCAGTAGTTCAAATGATAAAGACTGATTGTAATCAGCAATATACTATTGCATTATGGAAGAGGGTCCAGTGTGACATGAACTCAACTGCAATTTGTACAGAGGTGACTGGGTATTTTAAAGAAAGGATAATGGAATGGGTAGGGGAAACAGTGGGGGTTTCAGAGAATCAAGGAAATGAAAAATTACAGAGTTGGTCAGTGTAAATGTGACTAGGCTAGCTGTGTCTGTTAGCTAGCAATTATTGAATTTAGGATTCTGTACTTCTACAGAGACTGGGAGACAGAAGCCCTATCCTTCCTAGTGATTACATTTCAAAGAAATGGTTTTCAGGTCCTTGAGAGACACTCCTTAGATGCAGGAGTGACACCTCAGAGTGACAAAGGAGAATTTCTGATTGTAAACCCTTTTTAGTAAATGCTCTAGAAAAGGCAGGTCAGGGACCCATGCTCAAGTGTTAGCTGGATCAAACTGTAAATTCCTTTGGAGGCCTTGAGAGTTTTTTGTTGTTGTTTTAGTTTTGTTTTGTTTTCAGGCATTTCAGGCATAATCCCTTTCAAGTGTATCTAGGGTCATCCTAAGGGTGCAGTGTTGAGCTGGTTAGAGTTTACTCAAGTCTTTTAGTGTATCTGTGAGTGGGTGAGTAGATGAAACCATTAGGACTGAGAACTGACAGTTTTTATAGGCCAAAGTGTAGATCTCCTCGAAAAGAAGACTTGGAGGAGCCTATCTAAAGTTTGCCTGTCAAGAAGAGTGCCTTTGTCAGATCCTGTGCATTTTACAGGGTTATAGCAAAACATACACACTGTTTTGTATCCTTTTTTTTACCCCACTAAACATCTGATCAATACCATATTCTGTCTTATTTGTATTTTTATAAATTCATTTGGGAGATAGGGTAAAAGTCCACACATAGTGGCCACTTCACACTTTTTCATCCTTCCCCTCCTAGTAGACATTCATGTTCTTCCCATTGTATTTTATGAAAGCAGTATTAAAATAAACTTCACTCCTGTGCTCCTCCCACCCTTCATTTGATTGGCTTTATTAGGATTAGACAAACATAAAGGAAATTACTAACTGTAAGGATTCCAGCACTTGAAAGACCTTTGAGTACAGGTGATTTTATTTTCTTTTTTTTCTCCCTCTTCCCTTGTCTCCAGCCCGTGCCTCCTGCCAGGACATTTTGTATGTTGTCCCAGAGCAGCAGAGAGTCAACTCAAATGGATCATTTCCATGGGGCCCCCACTAGGACAAGGGGATGCATCTTTTTATGTTCACCCCATTTTTTAATAAAGAGGGTGTATATAAAGGACATTTTTTTCTCTGAGTAGTGATGAGGTCAACTAGGATAATACATTTCAAGAGATCATCAGTGTATAGGGCTAAACAGAAATTGGGAATTCAAGCAGAGAATAGACATGAGAGGAAGGCTTTTAAGGACCCTGAAAAAAGAAAAGTGCATTAAAGACACATATGCATGCCAGCGTGGGGTAGAGGGCAGAGGTGCTGATAAATACACTCTAATGCATAGGATAGCCACCCCCAACAGAAAAATTACCATGAGTGGTATGCAAGTCCAGAGCACAAGCTCAAGCTGCAAAATGTGTCCATTAAGCCTAGCATAGGAGTTCTGTCACCATCTTTCCCATGCTCCCACTGCGAGCATTTATTTCTACTATGTGGTGAATGCCATGTTATCCAAATACACTATAATCCTTGGGAGGAAAAATTTCCTACTTGCTTACTGTATCAGGGGAATCTGTTTTTATTTTATCTTGCAGTGCAGGTTAACTTGTTTGCAAATTGCAGTGTTTAACAAATGAATTACCTGTGTCTGGCATTCCCTTAAGTTCATTAAACATTCACAGGGAAGAGTTTCACTTTACAGTTGTTTAACTAGATGTGGAACACCTGGTCCAGTGAAGTGACATGATAGCCTGGAAACACTTGACTTTGAGGCTGCAGAGCTAGACCTGGCAGTGAGTGCCTTAGAAGCATTTAGTCTTCTCCATCATTTACAGATGAAGCATTTGTGACACAAAGAGATGCACTGACCTCATTTACTTGTGTCATGTGTGAGAGAGACAGTCAGGGCTGCAATTATAACCTCCAAACCAGTCAAGGGAGTGAAATTCTCAGCTTGGTTCAGGGATCAGAAAGAGAAGTAAGCAAAAGCAAGATTGTGTGTGTGTGTGTGTGTGTGTGTGTGTGTGTGTGTGTGTGTGTGTTTGTATGTGTGTATTCTAGTAAGTAGCAGGCACTATGTTAAAGACCACAGAAATAATAATGACCAAAAATGACATTGTCTCTACTTTCAAAGAGCTTACTGATTACTCTAGGTGATAGAAGCTAGTCAAATAATATACCACAACATATATGCCAAGACCTATAGCCAACAGTGAAGAGCACTGTTAGAGCTTATAGAAGGCTGGTCTGGGAGTTAACCTGGCAATGGGAACAACAAAGAACTCTGAGAAGAGGCGATTAACATGTGCTCAGTCCCCTGATTGAATAGACACCTAGTTGAGGTGGGGTGGTGGGTGAGTTTGGTAAAGGGTGGGGTTACAGAAGAGTGCTTGCTGTGTGTTGTGTCTGGAAAGGGTGTCTACCTGTTATTTTGCTTCAGTAGAAATGCATTAAAGTTTGTTAACAATTCTTAGAGTTTTTTTTTCTGCTCTGATACATTGTGCCAAAATTTTCAAAATAGCAACAATGGTCAAGTTGTTTTTAATTACTTTCATTAAAGATCCAGATGAAATCATGCTCTAAAACATAACCACTCACTTTCACCATTCTCTGGGTTAATAAGTCAGAATTGAAATAAAGAATCTGTTTGGGTGTGAGTTACAAAAAATCTTTTTTGCATGTGCAAAGCTACAATACTTGCTTTAACACAATTATAAGGTGACAAACATATTTTTCTACTCCATATTACCATTAGTTAAAGATGCAGAATGATGTCAGTTGACCTGTACCATGAAAGCTCATTGATTTGCTAGAGAATCTATTGTGAAAAATTAAATTGCATTATGTTCACAATGAATGGTTCTAAATGCCCTCTTTTAAAGAGTTGATAACTGAATACTATAAGTAAGCACAAATACACATGTTGTGTATACATAAGATGTGAATTATTATTTTTAAATTAAACTTATTAGGGTGACATTGGTTAATAAGATCTTATAGGTTTTGAGTGTACCATTCAATGATACAGCATCTGTGTATTGCATTGTATGTCCACCACCCAAAGTCAGTTCTTCCTTCACCATGTATTTGACCCCTCTCACCCTTTCCTCTCCCTCTGGTAGCCACCATGCTGTTGTTTTTGTCTATGAGTTTTTGCTTGTTTTTCTTGTCTATTCATTCATTGTTTTCAGTTTATATCCTACATATGAGTGAAATCATATAGTTCTTTTTCTGTCCAACATTTTACTTAGCATTATATTCTCAGGATATAGCCATGTTGTTACAAACTGCAGTATTTCATGTTTTTTATGGCTTAGTAGTATTCCATTGTATATATGTACCATATCTACTTTATGTAGTCATCTAGCAAAGAACACTTCGGTTGTTTTTATGTCTTAGCCATCATGAATAATGCCTCAACAAACTTAGGGGTAAATTATTTTTGTGAATGAATGTTTTCAAATTCATGGGGTAGGCACTCATAAGAGGGGTTCCTGGGTCATACAGTAACTCTATTTTCACTTTTTTGAGAACCTCTATGCTGTTTTCCATAG